ATCATTTGCAATAACCGTAATTCCATTTGCAATACAATCTGCAAATGAGTTTGAGAAGGTCTTTAATTTTCATTGGAAATTGTCTCTTATTATGAATAACTATACCATTATGTTATGGCAAAATATCTCGCAATTTCCATGCAAAATCCTTCAAATCCGCGTCCTTCCGCACTATAATTCTCTTATTGTTGTTCAAAATACAATACCTTTTATCTTATTTATTTTTACAACCGCATTGTATCTTCCTTGGACATAATTTTCACGGTATTACGCCATTTTTACCATAGTACGAGAAATCACATGTACTTTTATATTGTCATTCGCATTTGATATTTGGTCAAAAGCTTTATTCGCCCGGCAGCACTAAATGCGAAATCTCACTGACGATGTTTTATTCACGTTCCACGGGGGATTTCTTTTATGATGTCCCTCAAGCTCAAAACGTCCGCGTCGCTGCCCATCTCTCGGCCAGAGATCCTGGTCATTGAGTCAATTTGCCCCCCATTTACTCCCGTGTCCAAAGGTCCGTCAACCGCAGAGCCTCGCATCATTGCCAACATCCCAAAGCTTGTTTTGTGATTTGTACTCTAACTCCGGACTGGCAATGTTCCCAAATGTTTATGGCTTCTGAGACAAATGAGAATCGCCATGAGTACCTGAATTTGTATCCCTTTTCTCATCATTATTGCAGGTCCTTGGCTGTTAAATATGCAATCCTAATTAAATGCGCGTCGGGAATTGCACTCGTTTGCGAGCTTTAATGGACAATTGTTGCGATTTTCTGGCAATAATCGATGGAATAATGGGGATAAATCATTTTAATTAGATATTTTATTGTGCTTTATGGCTTGACTTTATTGCATTAAATTCAGATAAATAGGCTATCCATCTAACTATGATTATACATAATAAACGCATATTGCACTCGAAGAATTAAATATGAATGTCTACAGAGATTGTTTACATTATGTTTATGATAATCTCTTAAAAAATGGCGATCTTAACCTCCTTGTTCAAAATATTTTTCCTTTTTCACCCAAGAATGGCAAAGTTCTTGGCAGTGATTCTTATACTATTGTGCCATAGGACTATTCATTGTAGCAATTTCGTTGTGTTTCTCAAAGTGCCCCTACAAAGTGTTTTCTTGCACGCAACAATCAACGAATTAAACTCCCGTGAAACTCCCCCAGTGTTACTTACTAAAGCTCTTCATTAATCAAATATCACTCTCACCTTCAATCTGATTTGCATTTCACACTGAAAATAACCACCGTAAATGACTCTTTTAGAACTACTATTTAATTATTTCACCGGGGCTCTTTTATGACGTCGTCACGCATATTAGTCTAATTCGAGACAAAGCACATTTCTGGTTAATTGTGGAATTTGTAGTAAGCCAAGGACATTTCTCTCCCATGCGAAGAAATGCTTTATTTATCCATGTGATATTCATATTTATTTCATTTCATATAAATAAATTGTTATTGACACAGAGGATTAACTTATGCAGATAATTCAATTTTTTAATTCTAGGAATTACATTTGTGTTGATCGACCCAATTTATCTTATGTGTTTTCATAAACACACCATTAACAACCGAATGGCATAATTTTTCTGGCTATTTGACTTAAGGTCGAGCGAAAGAGCGTAATTTGCCCCGAATATGTGAAATGAAGAAGTCATTGTAATTACGAGTGAGTCTTTTGCTTACAGATGGGCGCTATTATGTTGTTAATTTGATGAAATTTCCAGATGGAGCCAAATGGCAGAGTGTTCATAAAAACGCACGTTATTTACCCATTTTAAATAAATGAGGATGCTCTCCGTAATTAGACATTCCATCGAAAAGTTTCCGTGCGGGAGGCGCACCACGGAAGTGTGGCGACCCGTTGAAAAATAGTAAGTTTGCGGGCAAAGCCGCAGCGGACGAGTGTGCTGGGTGGCGAGGTGAAGGGGCGAGAGTTCACTGTGTGATGGAATAAATTAAATAAAAAACAAACAAGAGGTTACGGCGCCAGAGCCGAAAGCCAGGATCTGTGTCCTTGGTTGTGAGCTCTCATTTGGCAGTATCTTGTGGAAATGGGCGCCCACTGCTAATTCTGTTTGTTGAAGGTCTCAAATCGTCAGAACAAACACAACAATTGTCGACAGTGTCAAAATTAATTTAATCACCATTGACGAAATGGGTAGAATCGTGTGAACGTGGTGAGTGATAGCGTGTACCTTCAGCTCGCTCCGGAGAACGTCACAAATGGCGCGAAAGCCACTCACACAGCGAATGACTAAATTTCGCGACAGGAACTGCGTCACAAAAAGTCATGTCGCCTATTGGAACCTATTTCGGATTAGACTCAGTTTTTTCCTTCATCTCTTAGCTTTAAAGTTCTCTAAAATAAAATTAAACTATACGATATTAACTCTATTGTACATATTACATACTAAGTGGTTGGGTTGAATTAAATTTTGCAAGTGTGAAGAAAATTTGGAAAGTCAAGAAAGACGTTATAGTGTGGGAAATGGCACTTTGTGCAGAGTCTTGAGAGTTGTGTGAATGGTTGATGCTTACTACGATTTCATTTCATCTCCACAATGTCACACAAAGTGACATCTATAAGAATGCTCCTCTGGCTTTTTGTCCCTCAATTTGAAACCATCTCATTGGCGAAATTGGCAAGACATGCCCAATATACATATGTGAAAAATAATATCCTTGTAGCCCATAGTGTAATCAGAAATAATGGAGACATAAAATACATAATATCACCATATAATATACAATATTATATTTTATTTATACTCGAGATACATATATCGATGAAATATGATCTGATTATGGGTGGTGAATTGAGGTCGAGGCTCTTGTTTGTAGCAAATGAGACTGAAATCTTGCGTAGATATATCTTTTCTGGACAATTGAACCTCATAATGTGCACCATCATTGATATTTCGTAAGAAAAGTCCAAAAAGTGCCCTCATTGTTACAATTTCAATATATATATAGCAGGGCTGCTGACAGTAACACATTGATGGCATTCACTCTTTTGAGGGAGCACCTCGTCGTGAAAGGGGATGCTAGAGCATAGAAGAGTATTTCTATAACAATGTCTAGACAGGAATCGCCGTTCCAGGTGTATCGGGAGTGACACATGTATGGAAACTGTGAACTTTCGCAGCTTAATCCCATCCTGAACGCTTCATTCTCTAAGCGCTCCACTATAAAAAAGTACCATCACCATTCTGGCATTCTTCTGTGAAGCTCTATTGTTGAAAATTGCCGAGGCCTCAGCACTGCAGTAATTAAATCCGGAGAAAGCTTTTGGGCGACATTTAATTCCACGCACCGTGAGTACGACAAAATGTCTCAAGGCCCATAAGAAAAGCTCAGCCAGCACAGGGAGGATATAATTTATTCTTGGCGGGGGATGTTTTACAAAGTGTGTGGAAATAAGTAGGAATTAAGCATCTCTTTTTCTTATATTAGCACTTACTTTCTCACATCAACACACATCCACACCCTCGGTGCGGATGTACTGCTGAGAAGCATCTCAAGCGTGAGCTAAGCAATGAAAATTTTCGCAAAATGGGCAAAAAGCGTCTTCTGCTGTGGTGAACAGGAGGGGCGGAGAAAGTTTTCGCCGTGGAATACGTGTCGGGAAAGTCATAGGAGGTGGCGTGGCATCTCATGTGATATTAATTTAAAAATATATACATATATCATTAGGAAATAGGGGCACAAGTATAATCACATAGTGTAAATCATTTAGAAGGTTGGGAGGGAGAAAAAATGGGGAAGGAAGAGCTAGCATATGTGACTTGCACATATATTGTCTCTCAGCTTCCTTCACTGCTCGTCGGCGAAACATGTAAAGTCGCAGCAGAAAAAGCTCATGCGGAGCAATGAAAATGTTTTATTTGAGACCTCTTTCTGGTTTATATGTATATAGACTTTGGGGTGACTTTAGGCCTCATATTGTACAAGTATTTTCCTTTTTTAAGCTCTACTTTGTACAAATATGTATTTTGTATTACATTGTGTGTAGACCGATAACACGAGAAATAAAAACGAGAGTCAAACAGTAAAGTTTTCAGGGCTGCAAATTTGTTTCCAACAAAGATCCTGGAGATGTTATCAAGTACTTAAAGTTAGAATATAATCATAATAGGAATAATTCATGGGCAAAACTGTTTCATTTCTATTTCCTACAGAATCCAAAACTAAATAATGCTCTCAAAGCCTTTGAAATTTCACTGTTGTGCCAATCCTTTAAGTCGGTTTAATGGGTTATGCGTTAGAACTCATTAGCCATACTCATTAAGGTGGAATTGCAAGTGTTAAACTGGGGTGTTATTGATTTGCGCGCAATCAGTGGAACAATTCTGGAAGTGGCAAGCTTTTGTACTAATGCTAACCAATTCAAAAGCTCTCGCGGCTCATAATTAATGAGCCTTCGAATGGTGAACACACATATTTCTCCACCCAACCGGGCTTGATATCTCTGTGCGATATTAAAATGAACGTATAAAACTTCCAGTGCGCTGGCTGTATTATATTTTCATAGAATTAGCATCAATTTCAATTTGTTGAGGCTGCTCGAGGCCTGGAATAACCATTTTATGGGTGCAATGCTCACGAGCGTGCGTGTGCGGTGGCGTCATAATTTAGAGATGATGTTTCCTCCGAGGATTCTGCGTGAGAAGGGGATGGAAAAAAGCAAGACAGGAAGGTGATAGAAGATGATATTGATAAAATTTTCATTTTCTCTATGATAAACATTTTTCCGTGAAGCTGATCGTGTATGTATGTGTCTCTGCCTTTCAGAAAATTGGATGTCATATTTATGGATTGTGGTTTTCCCCACTTCGTTTTTGCCTCTCTGCAAATTCTCTTGGACAGAATTTCTGACACATAGATGATGGAATTTTCGTGGAACACTTTTTCCACAACACATATATTTTGAATCAGAAGAAAAGACACAACACAAATACTATATCAACATACCGTTGGCAGTGCGAACTGTTAACCTCCTGGCTGTTATGAATTTTACTTCCACTTTTCACTCGTGCACTCTCTTTATTCGCACGGCCAGGAAGAAAATGGTTTTCACAGTTTTTTGCACTTCAGTCATTCACTGTTGAATATTAAATTGCGCCTTTGGTAGGATATTGAGTATTTCTGTGACAAAAAATTAAGACTCAAATTAAATACTTTAATCTCAAAATGATATTTAAGTTAAACTAAGTAGGCTGTGTGGAAAAGAAAAGTCGACGAATAGAAACTAAAACGTCATAAAAAGTAAACAATTGACTCTCTTCACTTGGTTCACAACAGATAAAAAAGTGAAAATTCACTTTCTCTCTTTAGAAGCGTATAAACATGTAATTTTCATATAAAAATGTTGAAGTGACTCCTAGAAAATCTAACCTCACTTTGTGCTAATATCTACATCATTTAGAGGTCACTGACTTGTCACTTTTTTTTGATGAAATATCATAAAATTCTATTCAAATTCTCAATTAGTTTATTAAATAAATATCCGACAAATTAATATCCTCCTGTTCTATGATGAAAATTAATTATGCCTATAGTAATAGCAAATATGCTTCGTCAAGCATACAGGTGGAATTCTCGCCAATTCATGTTCTATTACGAGGGAAAATTGAACATTATGCTGTCCGAAATTAGGGAAATGAGCATCTATGCGGATGATGGAGAGAGAACTTTCAGAATTTTCACTATATTCGCCAATGGAAAATTTCACTGGGATAAGCTCCAGGGCATGAGAGCTGATGGTGTATACTTTTATCTCCCCTTTTCAGTCTTGGAGCTACACGTAGATTCTGAACGACACACACTCACTTGAACAATTCACGTCATATCCAACCAGGGCTATGAAGACAACTGCACCCGTTGGAAATGTGTGATATGGATGAGGATCCGGATCCTGCGAAGGAGATACTCCCCATTTCGTGATGGTGGGAGCAGTGAGAAAGAGTTTTAAACACGACTAGAAAAGTCGCTCCGAAATATATGTATGGCAAGTCTCTACAGTTGGGCACAGGGATGATGGTGAAAGCAGCCAAGTTTCTCGTGAGTGCGCCGAATAGATACACACCATTGGGAGAGACCCGAGCCGAAAGCTTGCGATTTACGACGGAGCTTTCACTCTCTCAGACTCTGCGCTATGGAAGGCCCCATCAGTCCTAAATTTCCCGTCCACTGGAAGTGACGTGGTGGGGGGTGGAAATATAAATAAATTCTTTCTCAATATTCTCGCACTGGAAGGAGGTTATTTAATTTTATCACATGCCGTTGAAACCGCAAATTTGGGGAAAAGGTGCAGACTATTCGTGGATTGTGGGGAAAAATTTCCGCCATGAGACACCTTTTTCCCCGAAAATTATTTCAGACAAGGTGTCATTAAATTTTTTTTTACACCGCATCGTGATGGAAATTGTTGGAACAAAATGCGGGTACGCCTGAGATTACAATGCTCAGATGTAGATTAGATTTATAGAAATATACACAGCTCAGAGCCATTACAGAGGGATGAAATGCTTCTGCACTCTGTGCGAATGGGGAGAATGTGTGGCGCAAATAAGGGAACGCAGGTTGAAGCCTCCCCAATCATTGGTTTGCGTGAAAAAATAATCAACGCATTACCTTTTATAAATAACTCCATAATGCAAATTGCAATTCGCACTGAACTCAATAACAAGGTCAATAAATTAAAATTTGATCATAGTATGGAATTGATTGCGAAAATAATGACTATTAATAATATTAGCATAATGCAAAACACATAATTTGTTAAAACAGCATTTCAATTGACACGAAATGCAGAACTAATGAGTTTTGGCAAAACCACTTAATTCAAAAAATCCATATTACAGCTGATCATAAAGCATATTGTTAATGTGTCACGCCAATTTCTCCAAAAATCAAGGCACCAACTTACATTCATACATATTCGGTTCATCGTCCCCATCATCGGACATATCACTGCCACGCATTTTAGTCCAAGCTGGAGAATCCGTAAAAAGTATCGTTATAAAGCTTAATTAATTGGAGAGATTTTGTGAATTTATTTCGCAAAATGTGTGTGTATACCATTAAGCAAATTAAATTGTGACAGTGATGAGGAAAAAACTGACCTTTTTTCAGGAAACGTAGAACAAATCCGCTCTTTGGACACGAACACTCCCTTTGCTGGTGCTCCTCGTCTCGCGTTTCCGCGATATCTTCACCCTGATTCACCACTGTCGGTCCATCAACTGCCACACAGTGAGGACCCGAGTCTCTGCCGCCGCCTAAGAACGTTTCAATTGTTATTTTGGAACTCCTCTTTGGCGCTCTAGTCTAAACAATATACAGAGGCTTTACACGAATCACTGAGGCGCGCCTCTGGTCAGGCCGTCCGAGCGCTCAAATCAACTTTGGAAGGAGCGTGTTTACACGGAGATTGACAAAAATTAACATGTAGCCACGTCAGTTCTTGGACTGCGGCCAACATGCATCTCCATCAAGATGACGACATGCTCAGTGAGAGGGAATCGCATGAAATGGACAAAATCCTCCTCGCCTGAGCATCGCATTGAAATGGTACAGAATCGAAGAGTGCAATAGAGCGACAAGCCGCAACTATTTTCGCTACAACGTGGCGAAACTGAGTGGAGTGGTTTAAAAAGTCATTTGTCAGATGGTATATTTGTTCCATTTCTCCTCGACAGTCATTGGGAATTACACATAATAATCTGAATTTGTATTTCTCGCGTGCATCGAAAGCCCGTCAATCATTGGAATAGTTAACGCTCTTCAAGCATGCTATCTGACACTATTTCAGACGCACTGTAATCACTTTTAATAACTCATTTACAATGGCAAATTGTTTTTTCATTTAAGTTCATTAATGAAATATAAATCTCGCATTAAAAAAAGTATTTTGCAGGGGCAAATTTTGATCAATATATATTTAATTTTTGTATTGCGCATTAAAATTAAATCTGTAAAAGCTTCCATGCATTATAATTTATAATGAGAAATTTATACAATTTCTGCCCGAAAACAATTCATATCGATCAAGCCAAATTTATATAATTTTTGTGTGAAAATAAGAAGAGTGGAAAGGATGAAAAGCCACCATGCTTATTAATCACTTGCATCCAGAAGAATCGCTAAAACATGTACAGCATTTTAAAGTCTCATTAGCATGGAACCCAATTTCCTCAAGTTTAGCACGCCCATGATGGGAGACGAGGAGGAAAAAAAAGGCTGAACAAAGAAAATTTCCGCCACTTAATGAGGGCAATAGTTCACTTCTTATAATACATGTGAATACATTTCGCCTAATTACAAGAGATTGTATCAAAATGTCTTTACAAGACTGTCGGTATCGTATTTCATTAGCACAAGTATACAAATGTTTTCCCTTTTAATATTTATAAAGCGTTGGAAATTATTTTGGGCGATACGAGAAACATTTCCACAACTCTCGCACAATGTGGATCATAGAGAGTTGCGAAAGGGGGGACCGCAAAAAATGCTGGCGATATGAAATTTTGTATTCCAGGGACTTTCAGGACTATAATGCCTTTATCAGCAATTTTGATGAACCTCTCAGTAGAATTCACGTTCCACATTCCCTTTGATATTACTCATAATACAAAATGCATGACCTGGGAAATTGTAAACGAAGGGCGCACAAGTTGAAGTTGTGGGCATTTTTTGTAGTCGTGACTTGCCCTCAAGAAATTAGATTATGCCATTGGAAGAGAAAGACGCCACTTTGTCTCTATGAAGTCTCTTCTAATGAATCATGCCACGTAATTTGGTTATTTGTTAGACCTAATTTTCCTTTTGCTGGCGCTCAAAGGCTCAGAAATACACACATACTCTGCGCATTTCTGTTTCTGGGGACAAAATTCAAATGATGCGTGGCACTTTAGAAGCCAAAGAGACAGAATTTCACATTGTATATGAGAATTCTTGCACAAAACTCTCCCCGATTAAATTAATTAGCTCACTTGGCTCGCAATACAATACACCCTCTGGCCTTTTCACTTGGTGGGGATTATCGATTGGGAAACTGTGAATTTCTTTATGGCTTTTCTGATCATCTTGAGAAAAGTATTTATATATAAAATGTGGAGTGGAGTATATTTAGTTTAATTATATAGCGTCATATAAACGTGAATATTGCCCCAGAGAACTCTAATAGTTTTTTTCAAAACGACTCTGTATCTGATTGGAGCTCAGAGAGTATTGGAAATTCTCATTTAAGCTATTCAGGCAATTCATTTGCAACATTTTCAAAGGATTACTTTGTATATTGGGCCTAACTGTGCCACCCACATCGTTTATTTTATTTTATTAGATATGCACAAGTTTTGGGTGAGAGTCAGCCAGAGAGAGAGAGAGCATTTTGTGACGAGGAAAACTCACTCAAATGTGACATTTCTGTGGAAAATCCAATATTTCACTACAAGCTCACAACCGAATACTTTTTCCATTGGAAAAATGCGGAACACTGCATTTGCAATCACTCTTTTAGGAGAAAACTTCACCAAAACCAAATTCAACAAATTTAATTTTGCAGCAATATTTTGAACATAACAAATTTGTAGAAAAAAAAACAATCCGATAAGCAAAATATGCAACTGCGCGGAATTCTTCATGTATAAATATTATGTTTGCCCGACATTTTTCACCTCTCCGTAAAAAATAAACCGTCTTCTGCTCGTGTCTTAATAACCGAGACAGAGCATCATCACAGTGTCTTCGGATAATTTCGACACTCGTGTTAACTTTTCAGATTGTGATAATTTTTGCAGACGAAATTCTACGAATCCATGCGTTCGAAAGACAGTGAGATATCTCTTAAGTGGCAAAATATAACTTGAAATGCGCTTTTCCACTTTAGGTCCTCACGAAGGGTCACAATTTCCAACGAAACACAAATCCTCTTGCACAGCATATGACGAGTATTTACAACATTTGATCAATTTACACTCCAACGACTCTTCATGAAGCTGGTCTCATTATCACATTAGAGGGAAACTTGCGACACGACCAATTGAGCGATTAACGCTCAATTAAGTTTTTAATTATACACAAATCCAACAGGAGAAAACGTCACCTCTTTCTTCACCGGATGAGTGAAATTTGGAGGAGCAACATTTTCACTAAAAATACAATTGTAAACTGGCCCATTCCTCTCATGATGATCTTGATGAAGATGCCGTTGTGTTAATGTTTTATTTTTGGAAAGAAGATACTTTTTCGAGTGTGAGAATACGTTTTGATATGATGAATATGAGAGCAATATTTAGATCTGTTGTGTATATTTTAATAATACACATGAATGGTTATTAGTTTTATGAGTGATCACATTTTGATCTGTTTTATTAATAAACTCCGCGCTTAGCCTTCGGTTCGCTTCAGTGTGTATTGAATTTTTCCACGCGAATCTTGCCTGTGGTGACCATTTCTCATTTCATGAAAATCCATTCATATTTTCATGTCTACACAAATGAGAGAACTCCAGCTGAAATCAGCTGAAAATGATGATGTTGGTGAATTGTTGAATTTGTGAATTTTCACACTCAACACTCAGGAACTCGCTGAGCAATTGTAAGACGCCTTAATGCGTATTAAATGCGATGAATGGGGATATAATACAATGTGACTAATTTAAGTGCCAATTCCTGAAAGATACAAGATTCCCTCGAGAGATATTTTTACGAGAATTTCAGCAACTATACAGCCATAAATCTCCACATTATATAGTATTATTTTATCAGTCCCGAGGCCTGAGTGGCCTGAGTGAGTGTCTATTGAGTGACTTGAGCAAATGAAACATAGAGACAATGGGAAGGCGACACGAAGATAAGATGATGATTTTTGGGACAAGGCTTATCGCGCTGTTATTCATTTACCAACACACACCGGAAAAGGCAGGATTTATGCTGACAATCGGCGAAAGGAACAAAATATCTGCAATACATACACATGTATATATGTACTAGTAAATTTGAAAATCATTTGGAAAACCTTGCCAAAGTTCCTGAACTCCTAAGAAGGTGTGAAGAACAGGGAGACCGTTGCGGAAACCACAAATATTTATTACATTGAAATGTTATTTGTGTCTTAAAGAAGCACTCAGAAATGCCCCGCTTTCCTCTACATGGTGAGTTTTTTGGTCTCCCACTGTGAGGAGAATTTAAGAGATTTCTTCTCTGAGAAAATAGATTTGACAGAGAAAGAAAAACCAATAGCTTTACCGTACAATAAGACATCTTCAGTAGATACAGAAAAGTTGATAGCCTGAACTCTAAAAGAAACGAGGGTTGGATAACTGCACGCAAATCCCCCTTCTGATTTATTGCAGACCTTCTTCAGCAAAAACACTGTTCTCGAAACTTTATATTCAAAATTGCAAATTCTTATCACAACCATTAAAAATGTAACATTTGCTCCTCTGAGCACCCCAAATGTTTTAGTGTGTCAAGGAGTGGTGCAAATGTGAACATGTGACAAAGTATAAATCCATGTAAGAGTTAGTTAATGCATCCAGAGCCAAGGGCTAATTTAATTAAATTTCTCCAGAGTTATACTATGTATTGTGTCGCATTACAGGGTATTTATTCATATTCATATTTCGGTACTCTGCCAGGATTTAGTGTTGACTAAACCTGGAGGGCGTGAATAAAGTCCTTTTACGATTTCCATTCGCTGTAATATACAGTCTTTTGTTTATAGTGACAATTCATCATAATATTATAATTGCTACTCACGATGCATAACTCGAATTGTCACTTTCAGTTTGCGAAAGTTCATTCGTTCGCAGTTAAGTGAGCAAAAATGGTTTGACGGAAAACAGGCAAATCGTAGAAGGCAAGATTGATATTTTTTTGAAAACTTTGTAGTGGTCAAATATTTGAGATTTTGCCAAGTAACAACCGGATTAACGGAAATGAATTGGTTCAATTGACTTGAAAGTCGTTGGGAACGAGTCACTGTAACTCTTCGTGGCAGTTTGAGAAATGTCACAAGAACTTACATGTGTACAAATGCATAAAAGTGTCTGCAGGAAAATACGACAAATATCCTTTGCATCATTATTTCCTTTTTGTCACACTCAGCACGCTCGCGAGCATTGCCAAGAGGAATTTGGTTGGTAAATTTTCAAAGTGCTTTTTTCAGCAAATAACTTTCGGTGGCCATAAAAGCTGTGCACTTTCTGGCCAAAGCACAGGAATAAATCACTCACTTGAGGCACACCTGTTGCCGCCTCTGCCCAGGTTACCTCTCACCGTCGACCACTAGAACAGGTATGCTGGAATTTCCGCGATAATGATGTCCTGGTGCAGCACAAGAACACCCGAAACTCGTGGCGCTCGCGATTTATACGCTATCCATCTTCCAGCAGCTGTATAATAACATCAAGGAGACTTTCATTGCACAGAAGTTTCGACTCAAGTCTTGAAGAGCTTCTGCGAAAGTGTGATTCTACTACATAAAAGCTACAATGGCATTATGTTGCCGGCCTTTTGTGTTCCACACAATGTTATTGATAAGAACGAATCGCAAGTGTCGGCAATTACTGCACTCAGACACATTATCAAGATGTATAGTTGTAGGATACAAAAACAATATCTCTGGCCTTTACAAAGTATCGTTCGGACAATAAAAAGATTCACTACTCGCAATTGAATAAGAGAGAGAGAGGGAGAGAGTAATTGTTCACTGTCGTTCGCAGATGTGTTTAATGTTCGTGTTGAGTGTCAGTCGGTGGACTGACTAATTCATTTTTGATTAACATGCACAGCGTGTATTAATTCAGTTGAGATTTAGAATTATCATTGGACCAGCAATTGAGTAAATTTCCTCTCTGGCTAAGTTGTCCGCAGAATCAACCGCATATAATACGTGATAATGTGATAAATTACTTTAGTTCAACGTCAATCACGTCACAATGGCGAATGGAGGATTCCATTATAAAATGTGCATAATTAGTGCATTTTTGTCACAATAACCGTCATCATCAACATAGTGGGTCAAATTGTGTTTTACCAATTCTAATTGCATTGCAATTGTTGGACAGAACTACGCATGGACTTTAGCATCTGGAAAATTTGTGGTAAAATTTGCTACAAAATTTGAGGCAATGTGACAAATTCACCGAGTTTACGTTAATTAACAATTCACACAGAATTTAATTTGGGGAGCGTTAATAGTTGATTTCATTTATCATATCGAAGCCGAATAACTATGTATCTAAATACACGAAAACGAATTGTAATGCGTGTGTTGTGTGCAACAGTGTTCATGTTATTTATCACCAACCAAGCTCAGCCTTCAACCCCAAAGCCTCATTATAGACTAGGTTTAGAGGAACACAATCAGTAAGAAATCAACCGATATTAATGTCAATTTTGTGCTCATATGATTATGCGTAATCCTAATTTATACATTTCTGCTCTATATTATTTACTTAAAGTATACAAGATAGCACAGTATGTAACTGAAATTTTAACAATCTGCACGAATGAATAAATGCTGACACTGTACATCCCGGCGGCTTTCAATCTGTACTTCTTCTGCGCCATCCCGAGAATAATCAGGAAAGTCCTTTGATCTTTTAAACTCATCTCATACCAATTAATAAGGTAAAGAGTCGTTGACAAGTTGTCGGCTTTTATCTTTATAAATTCGCCAAAGAGACAGAGAGCAAGGATTTGTGTTAGTCCACATACGCAGAGGAAATAGGCGGAAAATTGGCTTTGCTCCTTGCGAACGAAGAGGAACATCAGGAGAAGGATAAAGGTGCTGCACAGGAACTGCACAAAAGAGAGCTCCTTGATGGCATTATTCAACCAGTGGATGTTTTGAATCACGTCGCAATGTCTCTTGATGATGCATTTCAGATAATTTGGTGCACTTTTGATTTTGACATTCACCAACTCTATGTACGCCTTGAGAATGTTAAGCGCGGCCATAATTTGCAGACCGAAGAAAATTATGATCAAGTCTATAATTAGAATATAGACTGAAGTCAACACCATGAAGATCAATTGCAGTATGTAAGCCAATTCCTTCTCCAATCCATAATTTGCCTGCAGAAAGGGCATTTCCATTGCGATTCCCAAAGTGCTGTCGAGCCTCATTCTCACACAAATCACCACCGCTGTTATTGGAAGTCCGATGAAGCCGCATCTGGTAAAGATACGCACATATAACTCATGGCATTTATGCGATTAGAAGCGTGGGTTTTTTTTCTCACAATAAAAGACACCTCCAGATTTTAAGTGAACTCAGCAGATGTGTTTCTAAAACAATATTCAAACTCTCGTCAGACTCTCTTTCCTCGTAGAGAGATTCAATCCACCTGAACAGTTGCCAGAAAATCTTCTGTCTCATTATAGCACAAGTGAGTTTCAGAATAATTTGTACATAACCAAAGGAGAAAAGCACTGTCAACAGCAGATTCACGTTCAGTCCGTGCGGGAACGCCTCTCTGAAGTGGAGCATCAAGAAGAAAGGTACAAGAAGCGTCTGTGTGCCCAGAAGTCCTATCAGGATGCGATTCCGCCACGGACCGGACGCTACGCGGAATGTCGTAGCTGATATTTGGAATTCTATGAATGACTTTTCACTGTTGAATCTCTCCAACTGCCTGGATATTTTCATTCTTGCGTCTTGGATGGTCCCTCGTAAACTGGAGTATTTCCGAGAAGTGTAGAATTTTGATGGGTACTTCGGAAAAGTCTTCATTTGCTCATGCATAATTCAGCCCAGTCAGCCTTGAATGTGTACAAAAGTCTTCCTTTTAATTACAACAGGATTTGGAATGTGAGTCGAGGGCAAAGAAAGAATTTGCGGTGGGTTTGAGCTCAAAGGACGCCCACTTTATGGAGTGAGTAAATAAAAATTACTTTATAAAGTTTACCTTCAGTCTGTTACACAAAATCCTATTGTAGGTCATAACTTTTTGTCCGAAAAAATTCCATCGTGTATTGCGTCTTTCTTTTGGAACAGGAAAATTCTATTGAAATGCTAATGAATTCATGTTTGATGTACTTAAGACGCACATGTATTCATACAAATTATAGTCCAATAGCCTCACGAATACACATATTCCAGATGTTATGTCACGAGTGTGTTTGATTTGGTTCTAAAAGACGAAGAATGCTTTTACCAACAAAATTGCACAAATGAGGAACATTCCATTATGATATTCACTTAAGCTTAAACATAAAAAATTTCTTGTAAAAGAAGATGAAAAGAAATGTAATTGTATTACCTTTTGCGCTTTTGAATGTAATATCACATTTCGGATGTGGGATATTTCAAAGTGAAAAAAATGCAGGAACTCAAAGTGCTCTCCACCACCGCGAAGTTATTCTAGAGGGAGCGTCTGAAAATGGCAGATATCGTAATCTTCCCTTTCTTACTGCAGTCAAGAAATCAATAGAAGCATTTTACATTCAAATAAGCTTTCTCAAGACACCCGCGCGAATTTGTACGAGTGAGAGTTCAATTTGATGGCAGTCATTGATTGTATTAGCGGGATTGATTTGACGCTTTGGGGGTGGTTTTTATTGTCTTCGCTAAAAATAGACACTGCCAGTCGACTTCCATTCACGAGAGCTTTGAGAAAAAGTCCAATTTACACCTTAATTCACAGAATAATTAATCTTCACTTTGTTACAAACTAATTTTGTCCCAAGCATTACTTTACAATTCCAATGAGATATTCCATTCATGAGAGACTAAGGGATTTACATAATTACATTTCATCCTGAAGCCTCCGAACTCTGGTTCAAGGAGATTTCCTCTGAAGAAATTTCATATTTCCCGCCATTTTGCGCTTTGTCTGCAAGAGTGTGTGAATTCTTAAAGAAAAACTCATTAAAGCTTTTCCAATTTGCTGCACTGACTCTACTCAAGCTCTACGAGCTTTACTCCGGCTTTGGCTTTTTCTATACAATTCCACTAAGCAAAATATTGCACAACATGGTAGACAATATCCAAGTCATTAACATGAGCCCTGAAGCAATTTTGCGAACAGAAAGCTTGTTTACTTGCAACCCCTTATCTCGCAGTTTTTCGAGAAAGGATAAAAATACACAGCGATAACAGAATGTGAGCTTTGCGCTGCATTCTAAAAATAAGGCCATGTCATTTCTTCCGAAAATACTTAACCCTATACATATATCACGGCGGAACAGTATTTATTTCCCGCCAATATTGTAATTCTCTTATCGCTGAGCATGGATCAAATTGTGTGAATTCGGGTGGAACATGGAAAAATCACGGAGAAAATATAGCTGTGAATGTGATTTATGGATATATCTTCTGATACGATGCGAGCTGCCGTGCTAAATACCATTGAGGAGCTTAAATTACTTGTACTTACGGTGATAGAGATGACAATGAAAGGGAGTGACGACGATAGGAAAATGCTTCTTTTCACAGCACTGTCATTGTCACAGAACAACCCTGTCAATGGACATGGCAACAATGCCTTGTCAATTGGCCATATGACATTTCTCACAGGCATGTTGTGCTCGAAATGAACAATAATTATGCATTCCAATCACGTCTCACTCTCATATTTGCACACTGTAGCACTGAGGAGGTGTCGAGGAGTGCTAACACCCCTGCTAAGGGAGGCACTTTTGACAGAGACTGAGCAAATGCACCCATCGATTGAACATTGCGTAGATTCGCGTCAGCAGAATTCTTGAAATTCTGTCTTAAATGATTAATTTATTGTGTCACAAAACTTCACTCCACAAACATATCGAATGAATGGAGAGCTTATTCGACGGGAGATTATTGAGAACTATGAAAAGTTCATTTTTCATGTCTTATGACCACTTGAAAACCTTAAAGTGCAGGTTAAATATGAAAAGATGATTTATTTAGAACTTGTGTCTTAAAATATACTCGAAGACTATTAAAAATCGACTTTTGAAAGTATAATATTTCCAGTTTATCTATTAACTTTGCCATTTCCAACAAAATTCCAACAAATACCAATAAAATCAATTGGAACAATTCAGAAAATAATTATTGCAGAGCTATATTAGCACTTTAATCAAAGATTAGAAGGTATTTTGAGGTAAATTATGCAAAATTGGCAGCGATAATAACGCTAAATGTTCAACTCACTCTCTTGAAAAATGATATTTCGACATTCCATAGTTTTCTATTCTCTCGTCGATATCGGCTTGATAAATAGAAGAGTGGAAGTATTAAAGAAGAAGATAAGCAATATGTCAATAAATACTTTAATACTCTCACACACAATTTTATTATCTCTTGTAAAAACAATTATGCCTATAAAATGGTCGATAATGACAGAAATGTGTCTATGCTGCTCTTGGAGCGACTCCTGGGCCAAATTCGAATTCCTCACGGAACAAATACTTCAACATGAATCGATGATGTTTCACTGATGCTCTCAGATAATCTTTAAGTACCTGGTGAGGCACATTCCTCATTGTCGTAGAGAGCCACCGTTCCAGTTGCACGCCAGTGTGACAATCGTAGCCCAACACTCTAAGTGCTTGGGTCACGTTTTCGGCGGGCGCCCATTGTAAGACCTCGAAACTCACAGCCGAGCGTGCTTCGAACTGTTCGAATTGCTCGAGGTTGTTGAACCACTCAGCCATTTGTAATCGGCGCACCTCAGAAGACACCATCTCATTGAGATTGTTCTTCAGCGCCGTCAGCTCCGCATCCAATGAGTTGCACTGCAGCGTGAGTTCACGCACATTGGCCTCTAGATGAGAATGCGTGGATCTGCACACAAAGTATTCGCCTATTAGTCTGCTATGAATCCAAAGGAATACATTTCTTATCCAATGGACGATCGAAATAGACATCTTAACACTGTGATGTACTATAAATACCCCGAACTATTCAGAGACGATGCGCCTCGTCACTTGGTCACAATCGAACTAACAGCTGTTGCTTATTTGAGGGAACCGAACGAACGTTGCAGCTGAAAAGGAATGAGGGGAATCTCATGAGAACGCATTATCATTTGTACACTTCCTATTCACAATACATTTCTCCAATATTGTATGACGATATAGGGGAAATATTTCGTATAGCAAGTCAGTTTTCGTGATTAGATGTTCCGACAGTGATCGAAGAATTTCTCTTTACATTTGCAAGGAGTTGTTTGCCGAGCTTACTATTTTTCCTAACACAGATTCCTTGAATCAAACAAGATTACTTTTATTGATTCATAAAAAGTACAATTCATACCACTTTACTTGGACACTAAGAGTCAAATGTAATGTATAAATATTTGAATTTTATTTGACTATGTTTTCCTCACTATTTCTGCTAGAAGTCAAATTTTCTTTAGGCACATTTCAGATTCAGCAACAAGTTGAATGCATATATTTATATACATTGTCATGGAAAATCTGTTCAAAAGATCATACATATTTATGTAAGGAAAGAACTTCTATATTTGCATAGAAATTCCTCAATATATTCAGACGCTTAAAAGCTCTTCGATATTAAAATCACGGTTCAATGGTTAGAATATTGATACCATTGATACAACAAAGAGAGTAAATGCTGCGGAAAGGAGAACAAAAAGGAATGTGCATCCAATAAAAAAAATCTTTCTTTGTCTTGTAAATTCTCCGTAAACTCCCAAGTGAAAGTCACTCACGTGGATCCAAGACAAATTGCACCACCGGAAAAGAAAGATAAATTGCAGTGTGAGAAAACACACTTCATTCCTCAGTTTTTTGGTTTTCCTTCATCACAATAAATTGCACAAATTCAGAAACTATGCTCAAGTTAAGTACAGTATGAAAATTTAATAACTGTTAATAATTTTCTCAACCACTTTCACATGAAGGACATAAAGCGAAAAATTTATGGTTGCAGATGAAAATTTCAATTTGTGGTGCGCAATAAAAAAAACGATATTGTTACTATGAATGGTCATAATTATGTTCTGGCATTTTTTTTGTTTTCGTTTTTGCATGTGAGAGGAAGAACAGCGATAATTGCCAATTATATTGTATTTATTGATATTATGCTCCTCTTGTCGGTCCAATTTATGCATTTGATCAGGACCAGAACTATACATAGCCACGAATATCGTGATATTCTCCAGCACACTGAGTAATCC